CATCTTCGCACGGACAGCCCGTGCGTTGACCAATTATGCTTGTTATAGGAGTGGAGCACAGCGAAGATACCAACAAACAGTCGCTGCGCAATAAACTGGCACGCTGCAGCTGCGAAGCACTGGCATGTTTGGCTGGCTTCCGAGAAGGCACACCGGACAACGATGGTGTTCAAAGAAGTTTGCGAGCTATGCTTACACCCTACATCTGTCAACTTATGCAACACTCCACGGACAGCGATCACGTATATGCTTGTTCTGCTATAGTCTGTTGACAAAATGTTTCTGTCAGGCTTTAGGGAGCTCTCGACGCTGCTCTGCATCAGATGAAACACGCAGCGATATGTTGTTGTGTCGGTGCACGCAGCGATATGTTGTTTTTTGTTGTTGACCTAAGTCAGCGCAAGCCATCGCTGACCTTGTGCTGGTTCTTAACGGTCTTTCCAACCTCCTCAGGTCAACGTTATCTTATTAATGCTTATTGATAGGGTGTCGTTGACCCAAGGGAGGAGGGAGATAATTAGCGGGATTTTTCCCAAACGGGAAGAAGCCCATATGAACGATGGCTTCGTTATTCGTTATACATCTGTTGAAGCTGAACGATGTGCTCAGCTCTCGTCTCCGTTTAAATAAAGTCCCTCGTCTATATTTCCTCGTCCCTTCTTCAGTCGTACATCACTCAGTTTACCGTCCATCCCCAAGTCGGTTGGCGCTACACCCTGGAAGTCTCCTGGCCCTGATGGGATTCTGGCGTTCTGGTAGAAAAAGCTACGCTGGGCCTACGCTGGACTCGGTAGGCTCTTTCAAATCCAACACTTCGAAAATCCAGTCTTCCTGCTGTTTGTTGATTCGTTTCAGTGATTAATTGACGATGAAGCTGGCCAGAAAGTCAAAATCTATTACTTCTGCTCCCTTTTTGAGAATTCTCAATCTGTGTTATACAAATTATTGAAAGTACTTGGATTAGGTGTTATTCGTACTCCGGTTTCTGAACTGTGTAGCAACCAATTTTTCCAATTGCTTTGACCACTTCTGCATTGTTCAGCCT